GATTCCGCACGGATACATCAGGCACGATGATGGATCTTTTTCTGTCGATGAGGACGGATGGGTGACGTTCCGAACGGGAGACCGGTACAGTCGCACGCACGATGGGAAATTCCTGTGGCTTGGAAGAACCACGGATTTTATCCAAGTGCGTGCTCCAGTTGTGATCGCGCGACGCAGGCACGACATATTTCCCAGATGACAAGCGGTGAAACTTTAGATCCGCGCCCAATCCAGAACGCGCTATGTGCCTCTAGATTCATTCGCAATGCCTGCGTAATTGGGGACATGTTTCTTAACGGGGCATCGACGGCTGTCTATGCGATTGTGGAGCTTGAAACGGCGAACGATACGGAGACGCCGCTCCTAGATGTGCACGCCGCCAAGCTTGAGGTCGCACGCGTTCTGGCGCCCATAAATCGCGATCTCCTCCCTGCGCTTCGCATTGCATGGTCGTCCGTGCTGATCCTGCACCACGGTCAGACGATACCTCTGACCCGGAAGAGGGAAGTCTTTCGCAAGAAAATCGAAAGCGCATGCGGCGCAGCAATCGCGGCCATGCATTCCGCCGCCGTCCACACCGATGAACCTCACGGACAAGGTCATTCTCCTCTTTATAAGGCGACTTGGTGTTGATTTGATTTCGTCTTACAGTCGGGGCTGCTATAGCACATATCGTTCGCAAGGCCCTGGGTGTCTTGGACGCGGATATGTTGAATTCTATGTCCTTTGCTGAGGTAGTGTTCATTGAAATCCCTTCGGCATAAGGATGACGTGTTCTCTGTCTAGCTTGGCATGACTTCGCTGTTGGCAGTCAAAATCGCGGACACGTTGAACAAACATCTGAATGGGCGCGTCGTGCTTCCGCCCAACATCTGCTATATCCACCTCAATCTCCCCTCCTTAATCAATACCGTCCAAGGTCTGCTGGCGGCGAGCTCACATCCGCCGCCGCCGGTAGTTAACCGAAGTCGCACGTGCCATCCTACAGATGATGTCGTTATCGTCGGCAAGGCCTTCCGGCTGCCTGGAGCAATCGACAATCATAAAGTTTTCCGCGATGTCCTCCTCTTGGGAAAGAGGGACTCAGTAATCACTGATATTCCCCCAGATCGCTGGGACCATCCCAGCTTTTTCCCGCGTGATATTTGTTTCGAAAAGGCGGGCCTTCTGAACGTTGCGAGCTACGACTACAGCTTCTTTGGCCTGACCGCTACCGAGGCGCTGTATGTTTCCCCGACGATGCGGCTCGCACTCGAGGTGGCGTTCGAAGCCCTAGAGAACGCCAACATCCCCATCTCCAAATTGAAGGGGTCCAACATGGGGGTGTATGTCGCGACCAAAGACGATGGGTTTGAGACTCTGTTACACGCAGCACATGGGTACGAAGGTACGTGCTGCATTGTATCTCTGTCGCGTCTTTTCACTTCTGACCAGCGTATACACGATTCTATGGTACCGGGAGGGCGCCAAGTACTGCAAGCGGGCGAATCAGCTAGTTTGAGTTCGCGATTCGTTCTCTTCACGTCATTAATCTTTATTCTGCAGCCTCCTCGACGTACATGGTCCATCCCTGACAGTCGATACGGCATGTAGCGGCGGGATCGTTTGCATCGACCAAGGTAAGCCGAGATTGAACGGTTGGCTAGCGTTGCACTAACTCGATCACAGCGGTCAATTACCTTCAATCTGGTGCCGGCGAGTCAGCCATCGTGTGTTCAAGCAATACCCACTGCTGGCCTGGTTCCTTCATGTACGGATATTGCCAACATTGCCTACCGCTTATTGAGCGCTTCAAAGGTTCCTAACTGCGCAGGGGATGACATCCCCCAACAGCCGGTGTGCTACATTTACATCGGAGGCCGATGGGTAAGGATTTGATCGTCCCACGACCTTATATCTCACATGTCTTACCGTAGATACGTCCCCTCCGAAGGCGCAGTGGCGTTCATTCTGAAGACGCGACGCGCTGCGATCCGTGACGAGGACTGCATTCTAGCGATAATCAACGGCACCGAAGTCGCACATAATGGACAGTCCCAAGGGCTGGCAGCACCAAATATGAAGTCACAGGCGGCGCTCCATCGTGCACTGTTGCACAAAATCCAGCTTGATCCTAGTCACATCGAGTGAGAAGTTTTGCTATCATCCATTCAATATCTGACCGTTCTTCCAGTTTTATTGAGACACACGGCACAGGTAATCGGACTTCCTCTCCCTTTCACTGAATATTTATATTTCGCAGGGACGGCCTTGGGCGATCTTTGCGAGATCCAAGGGATAAACGAAGTGTTTTCCTCTGCGCAGCTTCCTCGCGCCCATCCTTTGATACTTGGCGCATCCAAATCGGCTCTCGGACATACCGAGTGTTCTGCGGGCCTAGTCGGCATCCTCTCCGTCCTGCTCTCGTTTCAGGAGAAGTTTGTTCCTGGCCTTCTTCATCTCCGTGAAGACAACGTTAACCCTACGCTCGACTGTACTGCTGTCCCTCTCGTTATCTCCGGGAAGCCTGTGCCGCTCCAAGCCGACAAACCACAGCGGGCCTTGGTAATGTGCGTAGCATTCATTCTCAAATTACGTGACCACCCTCATCGCGCCCATCTACAAGGTCGTATGGTTTCTCCGGCACTTTGGCAGAAATTGCTTTGGAAAGTCCTGAGCAGCCTCTCGTCCCTGAGGATCCTGTTCATACAGGGCCGATGCTATTCGTGGTCAGCGCCAAAACCGCCGCCGCTCTCAGGGCTTACCTCGACACCTATCTTTCGTTTCTCAAATGTGCAGATTCGCGCTCTTTCCATAGAATCTGCTATACAGCGTGCGTTGGGCGGGAGCATTACAAACATCGATTCGCCTGCGTCGCCACAGACCTCTCGGACCTCATCAGACAGTTGGAACGCGATGTATCAGCTCCCAGCCATCTAGGGCGCGCCTCCGGCTCCGTGGCATTCTCATTTCCCGGCCAAGGCAGCCTGTTTCCCGGAATGGCGGCCTTCCTCGCGGCCAAATATTCCAGATTCCGTGAATTGATCGTAGAATCAGGCCGCCGAGCACACGCTCTGTGCGGAGTTCCCGTTGAAGCGATCCTGCTCGATGGTGCTATCGAGAATCACGACCACGGCCGCAGTGAAACGGACCAGATCTGCATTTTCATCTACCAGTACTCCGCATGTCGGTGGCTCAAAGAGCTGGGAATCGAGGCCCGTGCCGTCATCGGACATAGTTTGGGCGAAATTACGGCTGCAGGTATGTCATCTTCAACTCTCTGGCTCGCCCTCGCCAAATGCATCATATCAGTAATCGCTGGGGGGCTTACATTCGACGTTGCCCTCGATTTGGTGATCACCCGCGCGCGTCTTCTCCGACCTCCCTGTGAAAGTCCAGGGGGGATGGTCGCTATGGCTTCGACCGAGGCCAAAGTTTCGGAAATTCTAGCCCTGGAGAAGGCGCATTTCACTAGCCTTCTCACCGTCTCAGTCATCAATAGTCCACAAAGCGTTGCTATCTCTGGCATGTCGGAAGATATCGACAAGCTGGTGTTGACCGCTAAACGCCACAATATAAAGGCTACACGCCTGCATGTAGATCAGGGCTTCCACAGTCCATGCGTCGATCGTGCGATCCCCGGATTGTACAAGTGGTCCGTGGACCACTCGGCGTTGTTTACCCCGTTGCAGATGACTTTATATTCGACTCTATTAGGTGAGCCAGTGTTGACGGGGAAAATTCTGCACTCAAATCATTGGGTATGGCGCCGACTCCGCTCGTCAATTATCCAAACTGAACCACCGTCCTTGTGTAGGTTGATCACGCTCGGCAGCCCGTCTTGTTCTCCCGCGCGGCTGCAGCTATTCAAGAGGACATCTCTATTGGGGCCATCCTCGATATAGGGCCCCAGACGATTGGCTGGTCTCTCCTGCTTGCCAACGGCCATACTCCGAGTTCCACGCTGGCGCTGTCCGCCAAGAAGGGGGACAATCAAGAAATCGCACTTCTAACCGCCTTGGCCGCGCTCTTCCAAAATCACCGAATCACGCCAAACTTCTCTGCGCTGTACGCTCAAAGAGGAGTGTTTGAGACCACTGTCATTCCTACGTATCCCTTTCAGCGTGTGCGGCGTTATCCATCCTATGTACCATCACGACATAGTGCCGGCGCTACAAAGTCCGTACCGCATGTGGAACAGAATGTTGCGGTGAATCCCGAGGTGATCAAGGGGCCGCGCAGGAGAATGAGCGCCGAGGAGTTTCGAGCGTCGGTGATAATGTGCGTTCGGGATGTGCTGGAAATTGGGCCAGGGGAAGAATTGGGTAGGAATTTATCCGTCTCACATTGAACCTGCCATTTCTGACTCTGACAATCACACAGATGATTCGGAATCACTCAGTGTTCGCGGCGTTGACTCGATCATGTTCGCGCAACTACGAAAACGCGTCGAAGAACTCTACGGGCTCAATTTGTCCGTTGTATTCTGGTCAGACGCATTCTCGATTGCAGACATGGTTCATGGGCTTCTTGAGCAGTACGTAGAGCAGATAGCTGTGTAGAACTTCGTGTAGTTCATCTGAATTTTTTGCTCTCGATTCTGCCACAGAACTTCGTTCATTACGAATCAGCATGCAATTGACTAGTCGAGCTATGCACACTGGATGGAGTACCGTGCACGAATAACTATGGTTAAATTCTGAACAGTAGCATTGCCAGCACAACGAGGTTATCGTCTCTATGCAATTAAGCGAACTCCAGCTTGGCGGAGCTCAGCTGTCCGGTATCCAGAGTCGACCGTTCGTGAACAACTGTATCCGTGCATTGAAAAGCCCAAAAAGGAACATGATTAAATATGCGATCGAGCTCCGAATCCGATCAATATCCACGGCGCAGATGGAAGCGCGCGGGGACAAAATCAAAACCAATCGGTGACATCCTGAGCTTACCAAACCTTCTCAACTCGCGGACAGGGATTCTAGGGGGGGGGCGGGATGGGACTATGAGTCAAAAAGGAGAGCTAGCAGCAACTCGTTTCGATCGAGTGACCTCGGGGTGGCAAATTACACGTTCATCACGTGCTGGTATGGGCCCCGCGCGCTTCCATCTGCGCCATGCTGCTATGTATGGCATCGCGAAGGATAGCCTATGATCTTGGGCAGGGACTGAGATGGTCTGGAAGGCCTTCTTTGAACAGGGAAACGTTTTTCGAGCAGGCCATTTTTCAAAGTGATCGGAGGTAACTTGTGAAAACAAACAGGAGACAACACGGTTTGGTGTTCATGCATCGAAGGTTCGACTATGGCTTCCAACGGAGATGTGGCTGAGAGTTAAGGCCAGATGAAGAAGAAATCCGGGCGTATGATCGGAAGTTTTTGAAAAATAAAAATAAAAACAAAGCAACAACACGGTTGGTTCGGATATTGTCCAGCGCAGGGAAGTGCGAAAAATGGCAAAATGCACCAAGGCCGAAAGGGGTCGTGACTTAAGGAAGATTTTGATTTTCCGGATGCGTGCATTGGGGGGCAAGACTCAGCCCCACAATTCACCAGTATTGCTCCAAGGCCGTTTACAGGCCCTTGCATCCAAGTACTTTACCGAGATCCCAGCCTCAAAAATCCCTCAGACCGAGGCATTCTATCCAACCCCGCTCCCCAGTCACTGTACTCGTCCCACTGTACCAAATATCAGGGTTTATCCGGTGGTATGAAACCACCTACGCATAGCACGATCAAGATCTAATTTCAACACACGTGGTTGTCTGGAGTCCTAATATTTTCTCGATGCACCCGATCTGGACACCATCCCCAGACCTTGATACGGGATCTCGGCATTTTCACCAAGGAGCATTTCAGCCAGCACATTAGTGGGACTCGGCTCTCGCCCGAAATGACGTATCCACGACTGCTCTTCTCCAAATTTGCAACCCAAGGGCTCCACACAAATCCCTCTCCATTTTCATTTCAACCAGTGATTTAACCACCACCCTAGGGAGCACTCTGTCATATTTCCGCGACTCCGTTTCAGCTTCAGCCACTACCATGGAGCATCTCACCCGCGACGGCTGCTTTACCTCCGTGCGCAACGTCCTCCCACCAACGGGATGTCCCGTCTCCAGCCAGCCGAGTAGCGTTGAACGATAAGCTTCCCCTTCGCGTGCGTCCGCGGCATCGCCCGCTCCACGAGCGCGATGAAATCGATCAGTGACTGGGTCACGTCGAGTTTGGCACCAGCGGATGCGGGGGGATTCTGTGGAAACGGAGACGAGTCCGTCCAGAGCAGTCATTGTCTCTGCCTGGAAGGGGGGAGGGCGGAACACGCGGGGATTTCGGAGAGATGTGATTATTATCTCTTCGAGAGTCGGGGGGCTGAGCGCAAGGAGAAAAGAGAGGCTACTGCGGAGCCAAGGCTCCTCCTCATTGCTTACATGGAAGGTGAATGATCCCTCCACGAGATCGACGAAGCGACGTGCGGCGAGCGGTGGCAGGGGCGGAATGGACGGGTCTCGGAGCACTGCCCAGGACCTGTCAGCGCCGCAAGGCGTTTAAATGCGCGACATACTGCCACATTCCAGATGGATGGTCTCGATGGTGGACGTCATGGCGGAAATCAGTTTGCCGCTGGCGGGACCTAGGCCGCGGATTTTCACTTGTACCTCCGTCAACTGCTGCTGCTGGATAAAATGGACGGCGCTGGGCACTGCCCGGAGCCAGATCGTCCCATTGGCTGAACGCTGGTTAGTTTCCCCAGTAGGTCTTCGAGGCTTTGAACCGCCGGAGACATGGTGTATCGGACGGAGAGGAGCAAGGTGATGGTTGTGAGGTATGCCGCGATATGTGGACACTTGGTGGGGCGGGTGGACCACGCACCGGTAGCGGTGGGGTTCAGCTTCAGCGAGCTGAATATCACACGTTGCCTCGGCTCACCGAAGCGAGAGGAAGCTATGGCGCATTCCCGCAGGGATTTCGTGTCCTCGACGAGTTCTTGGGGTATCATTGTGGACGTCAAGGACCTGAGAGGCGATGCCCTGCATCGCCTCCATCAGACGATCAGGCGCCAAATTCGCCCTGGACCTCAAACCACGGGTAGACTCGTAATACAGTCTGGCTACGATTGGCAAAAAAATAAGGCGAGCTCTTTGCCGTAGGCAACGGCGACGTGTTCGTCACATTGTTGCAGATCGTAGACAGTACGAGTCTAAGCCACACGTAAACTCCACGAATTTGTGATCGGAGGACCTTCATATGCAGAGGATCAATTAGTTGCAGAGGAAACAAGGAGGCATTCGATGTAAAACAGACATCCGACTTGCCTTGCTCACAGCCGTAGTTGGGAGACGGCGGTGCGCGGCCCGGATCAAAATGCCTTGGGCGGCGCCGGCACCACGGCAATCCATCATCACGGATCGCAGTTCGCGGAGTTTAAAAGGCTTCAGACAGCCATTTATCCTAGGACCGAAGTTTCACATAAAGCCACAATATGCGAGGCTCCCATATCACTCTGAATGATTGGCTCGACATTGCACATAAACCCATTATTTTGTTTTATTCAAAGTTATTCTCCCACTATGTACTTATGTCCGACGCGCAGAACTTTCCATAGAGTAAATCTCATTCACCTTGTCAGTCAGCGCAGGTGAGGAAAGCCTCCCGGATCTCTGACATCTTTCTGACGCGTCGCGTCCACCGCATCACGAGGGCGTGATTTGATCTCGTGGGTCGGAGTCTGAATCGCGATTGCCACGTCGAAATCTCTGGATCTCCTCCACCTCCACATCCGCGACTGAAACTTGGGTTGTTACACGATACGACTGAAACAGACTAAAACGGGGGCTTGCCCAGTTCGGACGACATCTGCAACGATCTCGGTTGTATACTAGTCGAGTCGTAAGTATCACCATCTTCTGGCTAGCCACTGTCTCTCTCACTCTGGGCGCATCACTGAAGCTAAAATGGGTGTGACTAGTAGGTAGGTAGGTAGTATTACACAATTACAAGATTTTCTTGATTGGGACCATGGAAACAACGGAGACTCACGCCCGGCGCCGTCATACTCTTATAAACATTATACTGCTTGAATTCCTCCATCGTCCACAAAGCTCGCCGCGTCAGAGGGCTTTCCTTGAGAATATTTGGTGTCACTGGCGCACTTTTCTCTGTCTCAACTCTGTAATGACGGGCTGAATCAAGAATGGCAGTACGTATTTATTTGAGTACTCATCAAGGGGATACTTAGTGACATGACAACCAATCTATCACGGCATCGGTGGCTCTCCGCCTCTCCCATCAATAAAGCAGTATCGGAGTATCCCATTTATATCAAACTTACTCGTTAGCCCTCACCGTCTCCCGCGATGAAGAGCGTCCACTTCTCCAGCACCAACATCATGTACTCCCCGCTCCCGTGGTCGCCGTCGCCCGGCGCCTCTACCTCCTCTCTCCCACCATCCCCGTCGGCGCCGCTCCCGCCGCAGCTCCCGGAGTCCGCTGTGGACTCTCCACGTCCGGCCCCCCCTCGTCAGGAATCGCCGCACACGCCCGTGGTTCCCCCAGCGCCCGTCATGTACAGCCCATGGCCCTCTCCCTATCTCTTCGGCCTGCCGTCTCGGAACAAAGACTCCCCCTCTCCGCCACTCTGCGTGCGCGCCCAGATTCATCTCCTGCTCTCCTTCGCCCCCTTCAGTCCGCCAAATGTGCACTGCGATCTGGCGCTTCCGTTGCACACCCTCAACCCGCAATTAACACCGTCCTTCCTCGATCCGGCGACCTACCCCCCACTGCCTGCGCTCACCGTCATGTGCCGCCATCTCGGATGGCCTATCATGGTCTCCGCATCACAGCTCGGGGGATTCGTGTCGGTGCTCGACGTCTTCACGTCCGTCGTCACGAGCCTCCGGCTGGCTGTCCGCCGCGCAGAATACGACACACTGCCGTCGCCCGAGGCAAGACGCAGTGTGGATGAGGCGTATTTCACCCGATGTCGCCAGTTGGCCGGCGAGGGCGAGCGGCAGATCGAGGCGCTCAAGGGCGTCAAGCGAGTAGACTTTTTGATGGGCAAGACGCACTTCCTTGGGCTCTCCGGTCCACTGGATGGCGTCCACGTATGGGAGCTGAACGTGTCGTGACACGGGAGGTACCCGCGCTGGATATCCTCTCTCCCGACGCCACTATGATTGCCTCAGCCAGCATCCCCGAGAAGTCCACCTAATATCATAGACCAACCTACTTCGGTGTGCCCGGTCCCGAATGCCTCGCTTCTTTCCCATTGCCATAATTGGAAGCGATTCTGGTGCTCATACTTTACACGCTGTACTGCTACTGCCTTGCCTTGGTTGTCTATCTGCTATGCACTATTGTGCCTGACGTGGATATCCCCCCTGTAGAAGAGGTATTTTACCGGAAATCAATAATCAATCGGTGTTTAACAACATGGGTCCCACACAAATACTTTCCCGCGATTCTTTCGGCCATTCGCCGTCTTTCCACAGCGTTCCTATCGTGTCTAGCTCTCTCAATCAACTTGCACCCCCCCTATTTCTATCCCTATTCCCTAGGTCGCCACATGAGTGTTTATTTATCCCAGGACGTCATTCTATGCACTCCGAGCCGACTGCGCAGTAATTCTGAGGCAGTCCGTACACTGCCGTCCAGCTCAGTGGCGCTGACATGTGTTTGCACTAACTTCCACCGAGGTCGCCCCATGGGGATCCGTGCCGCAGTCCTGCCAAGGATTCGCGCGGGGTAGAAACCGTCGCCAACCACGCGGCTTCGTACCTCGAGGCTCGCAACCGGATGCGGAATCCTACGCGGGAGGTTAGGACCCGCAGTAGGTACGCCATCCGAGCGGCCTCTTGGACAACTGAGCTTGAGGCGCTCGAGGGTATTTGCAGGGCCGTGGAAACTTCGCTGCTCATTTAGATGCCGACGGACAGCGTCGCAAAATGATGGTGGGATGCAGTCCTGTTGTGGACCGCACCTTCCTCATTCGCGCTAAGCAATATATCACAACACCCCTATTCCTAGCGCCTGGGAAAATGGATACCGGAGGATGAGCACAGCCCCCTTAAGCTTCCCACACCTATGCCGAGGTTGAATATGTATTATATACATGGAATCTGGGTGG